TTTTTTTTCTTTTTCTTTCTTCTTCCTCCAACCGGTCGCCGGATCGACTGGAGGCCAGGGCTGGCGAGCCCCTTCGGCCGCTAGCGAGGCTCGCCCTTGCCAGTGATGGCGACGGCGAGGCTCGCCTTGCCCTTGCCAGTGGCTGCAAGGTTGCGACCTTCAGCCTCGCGGCCTCTGCCAGCGGATGGACGAGGCCGCCCTCGCGGCCATCCGACAAGGTCGAATGGTCGCGAGGGCGGCCTCTCGCTGGGCGACGAGGCTCGCCCTTGCCGGATCTGGTGAGGGTCGAGCCCCGCTAGCCATAGGCTAGCAAGGTTGGGCCTCGCCCACCCGCTAGTGAGGGTGAGTCCCTCGCCGGCCCTGGCTCTAGCCGATCGCTGGACTAGTGACCGACTGGAGGAAGAAGAAAAAAAATTAAAAAATCAAAAAATATTAAAAATTATTAAAATTGTCCACGTCATCGCCGGCAGTGCCGCGTAAGCTGACCGGCATCCACGTTAGCAAAATCTGGTCAAAATTAGCTGGAATGACTGAATTGATATAAAGACAAAATGTTTAGGATTGAATTGGTACCAAAAAAAGGTTTTAAGACTAAATTGACACCAATGCAAAATATTTATGACGTTTTCAACACTTTTTCCGCTGGCCATATATTAACATTCCCAACATTGAGGGCGAAGAACCAACCATATGCGCTCTCCTATACAACTTAGATTTCCACTTGTATTTTTTAAATTCTACATGTTTTCTACACATCTTTTTAATGGCATGTCAATATGCGATTTTGGTTGGTAAGTGGTTTGTCAATGAAGCTGGAGATTATGTCGATCGGATTCGTGAATTTGCAAACTCCAAGTAATTGTACAAGTGATAAGCTTGTTTGTCATCGTTGGTTGTTTTTCCTCGACACCCGAGTTCGAGTTACAACACTCTGTATATTCTATTCAGGCTACATGAGAGTCACGAATCGGCATGCTCCGATGATTCCTTGCTTTGTATTCCCAATCTTGTCGACTTATGATGCCCAATGAACTTAGATTTCGGCTTATGTTATGGTGGTCCGCACGAGGTATTGAGCTTTGTAATTCCCATCCAAACTATTGACCCTAACAGATTAAATTAGTCTTGTTTGTTATTCGCTCACACGGCATTTTTTATGATCGCTTTATAGGATTTGGTTTTTACTTTGAGGCTCCGTTTTTTTGCGAAAAATGAATAATTTTGAAATTATTTTCCTTAGAAAGATCGCTTTGACCCATTGAAATAGTTAATCAATGAAAAAAGTTTTCATTATCAACAATAATTCATGTCTAAATATTTTCGTGAATAATAAAAATATTTTTCATTCATTTATTTTTTGTAAGTCATTCGAGATATCATTTTTTGAAAAATGTTCTCCAAATCGTTCATATTTTATAAAACAAACGCACCCTTAGAATTTGCTAAAAGTCCTTATTTACACATGTACTTATGGTAAAAGGCAACTGTGACATTGAGCCTAATGGGTCCTGAGTCTGGTTTACGATTAAGGATCTGACTTGCGTGTGAATTGTGTACGTGATACTGGTATTACCTCCACGACGTCAAATGCAATCAACTCCACATTTTGTTCTACTTGTTCGGGGCTTCCGTTCGCATCTTACATGGTCCATTGGGTGAGTGGGGATAATTCTAACATCATGAAAGAACACAGCGCTATGAACTCATGTAATTACCTACCTAAGGTGAGTTTTCTAGTTATCTAAAAAATAAAAATAATCGATCTGTTTGTATTGCGATTATTGAATAATTTGAAAAAGATTTTCGAAAAAAGCCAATCATATCGCTTAGAAAAATTAGTAAAATGGAAAATATTTTTATTATCAACAAAAAAAAATCCGTTTCTAAACATTTTGGTTGATGATGAAAAATATATATCGTTAATCTGTTTTCATCACCAATACAAAATATCATACTTATAAATTTTTTATTTTTAAATTGTTTACTTTTCTTGAAACAGGCCTACCCTTTCGTCTTAATGCTAGAAAAGCCAAATACTCCTTGGACCATTGGGGATTCTTAGGCATTTAAAAGGCATAAAAGTAGCCGAAAAAGACGAGAATAAAAGCCATGAAACTGGCCAATAAAACCAAAAAAATAAAAAATAAAAAATAAAAAATTAGAAAAACAATAAATAAATAAATAAAAACAAAGGTGATGAAACTAATATTAGTCAGTCCATGGACCCCCGCATCCATTAAGAGAGAGGCCTAATCTTTGGTCCTTGATGGACATGGCTCGGTTGTCCTGCAATTTATAACGAGATACACGGCATAATAGTACTATGTACCATGACATGATTTGAAAATGACCACTTCATTTTTTATTTTCTCCATCCACTTTCTATGGGTGAGCGATGATATCGTATGCTTCATGGGTTTATTCAATAGATTTCTATGGTGGAAGATCATTTTCCACGCTCGGTTCTCCAATCACCTTGTATCTTTCATCTGATCCTAACATGTGGACTCCTGTCCTCTGCCATAGAAAGTCAAATCCGGCGAGGTGAGGGTATTTTACCCATGCCCATATTCTGTGGCTACTTAACGGACCATTGGATTCACACCGCACGTCGAGCAAATATTCAAGTGAGTAGTTACAACAATTTGAGACGGCCGTCACGATCGGCTCCGTCGCTCTCATGTATGGGTACTAACCCATGCTTGGTTTACAAAACTAACAATTCTTTTGCGGGATAATTCAAGTTAAGTCTGATAGATGTAGGATCAATTTGATAATATTAGATGCAAGATGCTCTTATAAGATAAATATTGGAATAAGCAAAGAGATAGAAGATGATGCACGTAAATCTTATAATGGTTTAGCTTAGATCAAGCATATATGAACTCTCCTAGACTATCGGTCATCATTAAGGCTCGAATCCACTACTATTCCACTGAGTAGTTACAACAAAGCAAGTGTTGTTTATACTAGAAGTTAATAGATTTCACTATTAGTAAACAAACACTGCTTTATATAGTTCTCAAACCACATATTACAGTATGTAACAAAAACTCTTAATATAGTGAAATACAAATGAGTAGAATCACGGTTGCACTAAACAGAGAGAATGTGACAATATCGGTGTTTGTGACTTTCTTGATTTTCTGTATGTACTCGAGCTTGTATTGAGTCTCTTATATAATCTTCAATCTCCAATTTAACCATTAGAGAATCTTCAAGAGGATCAAAAAGTCATTGGACATTATAGACAAGATCACCGGATTTTGGTTGCCCATACAATCAGATTTTCCTAGCATTAATGAGGTTTTCCAAAATAGAGACAGCTATTTTTTTCCATTGTCTGTTCCTAGTGAGTGAAGTAGGCAAGAACTTATGACCAAAAAAAAAGTAGGCAAGAACTGATTCGATTTAGTTCAGGTTCTTCTTTCTAAAATTCTAGGCCCTGAAGCTAGTTGTTAATCCTTTTGATCTACAAATTTATTCAAAGGAATATATGGTCTTCTTATCTAGGTAGCGCAGAACACATGATAAACATTTTCTTCATTGTTGATATAGAGAGCTGCTTTTATCATCAATCCAATGAGTTTATCCAAACTATTTGTTGATAAACGAACTACTATCCATTGATCTTCCTGAGTACATTAGTGGTCAAGACTTCACTTAAATGTTCACTTTATCACGATCTCTCTAAGTCTTCACAAACTCTCTATTTTTCTAGACTTGTTCACCCTCTATCAAAGTCCATAAAACTTTTAGGCTTCTTTCCAATTTGTACTTGGATGCCGTCAATATCACACGATCACCGGAGATGAAGTGGATAGCCATGTGAATATCACCCGATCTTGGCATGTGATTATGAGTCATGTGCAAGACATATGTGGCAGTGATTTAAATAAATGTAATTGTTGATTTCAAGTCTTGTGAACATGAATTTGAGGGCCTGTGGACACCCATGATCGTGTCAAATGGTTTCGTGCAATACTGCCTTATTTACCATGTTAGTTACCCATAATCTTGTAATTGCCATTTGATTTACTGTATGAAAACCCGGGATTCCCACAATCTTGAAAAGCATGTTCCCGAGCTCATTGAACTGGTTTGTGATTCTATAACGTTGGAAATTTGATTCCGGGCTCGCCTTGCTTTCTCGAGTTCGGATTTGAGCTCCAAGAATGTTGGGATTTTTTTTTTGGTCAAATAATGTTGGGATTTCAAATCCTGACATTTCTCTCCTTTTTGCTCGTGAATTCTTCTCTGGGTTACTCATTGAGTTCACCTCTGGTTCCTGTAACTGGGTTAATCCTAAAATGCAATGAAATGTATCCTAGAAAGTAGATGTAATGCATATATGGATAATAGAAATGATATTTTTTTAGGGGTTGGGTCAATCTCTAATTTCCTAATGCAATATATGGGGAAGCTAAAATTTAGGTGTTAACTATGTTGGCTCATAATGTCTTGAGTGACTAATAAAAACTAGGTATAATCAGGCATATTATTCGTCTCACAATGTCTTCAGTTATGGACTAATAAAAATCAGGTCTAATCAAGTATATTATCACACCCCAATTTGGCTCCCTCTCAGCGATATCCCCTTTACGAGACATGAGACTTCTAGTTGCGCTTCCCAACTGGCCCGATGAAGTAGTTATTACGCAAATACCATCGTAAACAAAAGTAAGATCATCAAATGAACTTTGTTAAGATGGGGACGACCCAAGGATATGGAGGAATTGCACTCAAATGAAAACAAGAGAGAAGAGGCCAGGACAAGCCGTTTAGACGGCAACATAAAAAAAAGAAATCAATAAAAAAAAACTCGCCCGTTTGCCGGCCTCTCTTCTTAATTTGCCAGCCCACAACCTTCGATGGCCCCCTCCTTTATAACCCTCCCTTCATTGGAGGACCCAGTCGTTCCCTCCTATTCCTTAATTATTATTTTTGTTTCACTTTCTTCATCTTCTTCTCCTTCGTTTATGTTCTTGCTTTGTTATTAGTCCCATGGTGAAGTTATCGCAGCAAAGCCGCAGAGACAACGTCGCTGCTGCGAGCGAAACCAACAAGAGTGGTAACAACGTCAGTGCCGTGACTAGTGCTGTCAATGGTGGCGTGGCCAAGGTGAAGCGGACTCGGAGGACTGTGCCGAGAGACACTCCTCCTCAGCGTAGCTCAATATACCGAGGAGTCACTAGGTCATTGTCAGCTACTGCCTTTGATCTTGCTTCTTGTGCTCGAATTCGATTTTAGCTTCGGTGAATGAGCTGGTCTGGCTTGTTCTTGGTATTGACTTATTCAGGCACAGGTGGACCGGCCGATATGAGGCGCACCTGTGGGACAAGAACTGCTGGAACGAATCGCAGAACAAGAAGGGTCGGCAAGGTTCGCGAACTGATTTAATGTATATCGATGTTGAGATATAAAAATTGTGTTCTTGGTTATATATCATTTAGCTGATGATGGTTTCTTCTTCTCTTTCACCATCTGGGTATCTGCAAATGTTGGTGATTTGCATGGGATCTTGCTCAATCACTTCAGTGTATCTTGGTAAGTATCTTGCTTGATTGATCTCACCCTAATGTTTGATACCCATGGATGATGACATTTTATCATTTAGTCCTCAATTATTTTTTTTCCTTTTTCTTGTTCTCTCTTCTTAACATCCTCCTTCGTTACTTTTGGCTCTCTAATGAAAACCATTCATTCTAACTTCTCTCGGGATTTTCTAGGCGCTTACGACGACGAAGAAGCGGCCGCGCACGCTTACGACTTGGCAGCGCTCAAATACTGGGGGAAAGACACCATTCTCAATTTTCCGGTAACTACACTGTCGTCATTTTTTTCTTTTGCGGGCCACCAAAGAGATTATACTCAACATGGTTATGGAAAATACAACAATTAAGAAATATTATTCCTTATCTTCCGATGTAGGTATCGACGTACGATAAGGAGCTAGGAGAAATGGAACGACAGTCAAGAGAAGAGTACATCGGATCATTAAGAAGGTGAGAGCATCACCTAACGTAGCATAGCATGGCTCACTTGATTCATTAGATCCAACCTTGATCTAGAGAAATTAATTGGAGACGACGGAAATGACGTCATTATATGAATAAGTTGGTGTTGATATGTTGTGCAGGAAAAGCAGCGGGTTTTCTCGGGGAGTTTCGAAATATAGAGGTGTTGCAAGGTGCTTATGTTTTTTCCATAAATCATATGTTTTTATTTATTTAAAGTATTGATTACATTATCATAGTATAGAGTTTATATAAAGTATGGTAGATTTGGAGCCAACCCTGATTTAATTATTGTTTCGTCTTTATTTAACATAGGCATCACCACAATGGAAGATGGGAAGCTCGCATTGGGAGAGTCTTCGGAAACAAATATCTTTATCTTGGGACATATGGTAAATTCCTTCTTCTTCATTATCATCATTTTGAATAAAATACGTCCAATATCGACAAGAGTCATTATCAAGAAAAGTAATTTACTTATAGATCGGAAGTGAAATATCTCGAAAAATCTTTGCTAATCATCGTGTGGTTTGATTAATGAGAATGATACGTGGGTCATCTAATTTGTGAATAGCATGCCGTTAAATCAAATGTCATTTTCCTTCAAGACAACGTTGCTTGCCAAACTCTCAACTTCAATGGATAATATCGAGCGACTTCGCGACCTATTCTTTTCAGAATCTACAATTGAGATACTGCTTAAAAAAATTAAAGAAAAATCGCACGTAAATGGTCAACTTATGCTCTTCATCCATACTTTCTTTCACACTTGTCTAAGATTTGGACGGTGATTTGGCTTTGGTTATGTCCAAGACACAAATGCCAAACATATAGATTCTTTCTTTTGTGTGGAGATAACAGAATAATTATTCCAAGCTAAATGCATGTGATTCCTGGATAGAATCTGCGGTTCCAGCCTAGGAATCGGTTACCGAACCGATTCTAGGTCGGTTTTAGGTTTGCGGAACCGGGAAGCGACCTGTTCCCTCTAGAACCGGCCTTGAACTGGTCGGGCCAGGCCGATTCAGTCCCCTTCTCAGATTAAATTAAACCCGGTGCTGACCCCTAGTGAATGGTATAGAAATATGGAATAATATCTTGGTGATTTTAGAAAATCAAGCCAAGCTAGCAATGTCTCATCTTTTATGTTGGAAGTCCCGCGACCATAGGCAGGACAACGTTTCTCAGGTGGGATGGTACCTCTATTAGGTGCACTATGGTTAAAGAAATAATTTTGAAATGCACAACAACACTTCCTCTTGCCTAAAGGACTAGTATTTAGCCCAACAAAAAAAATCTCAAAACTAACAAAAAGAAGAGTGAGAAAGTAAATTAATTGATCTTAATTAATAAGAGAAATAGTGAAAAGTAAGATCGAATATTTGAATCGAGACGATACCTTGTCAATGATAACCTAAGTATTTTGATCATCTTTTCTTGTTGGCTATATTTTTTTCTTTCCTTATCGCAACTCTTTCTCAAGAGCGTATGTTAAGCCATGTCTTGTTGATTTTGTAGCCACACAAGAAGAAGCTGCCGTTGCATATGATATGGCGGCGATAGAGTATCGAGGACTTAACGCCGTCACGAACTTCGACCTCAGTCGTTACATTAAGTGGCTAAAACCTAACACCGCCGCTGCCGCTGCCGCCGCCACCAGCGGCATTACTCAACCCAATACCAACAATGATAACACCGATGTCTTAACCACAAACCCTAGTGATGAGCTCGGCCTTAGCTATTTCCAGAAACCCCTAACATCAGATAGTAACCAAGAAACCATCCAAGCTCAGCCTCGGAGCGCCACATCAGCCCTAGGGCTTTTGCTTCAGTCATCGAAATTCAGGGAGATGATGGAGATGGCGTCCCGGGCCGATGACGCAACATCGGCGACACCGCAAGAGGAGTCCAGTGAGTCCCTGAAACGCAGCTTTCCAGCTGATGTTCAGACCTACTTCGAGTGTCATCAAGATTCCAACAACTTTGGGGGTGACGGAGATGACATGATCTTCCGTGAGCTCAACACGTATGTTCCGCCGAGTTTTCAATGTGAGTTCGACGCATAAAGGGAGAGAGATTGCTCTCAGCTCGCGAAGAGGCACACTCTAATCATGATACTAGGTCAATTTTTTTCTGTGCATACGAGGAAACCGAGCCCCCGCCGGAGAAGAGTGCCGGAAAAGAAACTGAGTCACTTAAATTTTTATCAGGTCGATCATCGGTGAAAACAAATATCTCCACAAGCACCGGAGGTGACCAAAGAGTAGTACCTAGGTCGAATCAGCATGCACCTCTGCATAATTACGACGGTGCTAGTGGAAATATTTCATTCCACCTTAGTGGTCTTTAATAAGGTTCTAGGGTTTTTTCAATTTAAGGAGGGAAAGGAAGGAGATTAGTGATGATCATTCGGTTTATTTGTTGTAGATGTAAAGAAGGATCATAGACGGATTGTGTATGCCCCAATTGATTTTTGAGACATGATAAAAGATTGGATTCTTTCGTCGACATGTGGAATGAATCCGTTGGTCCATCTATCTCATGACTCGCGAGCCAATCAAACTAAAGCCATCTATTCATTTATGCCGTCTCTTCTTGATGCACATCAACAATAATACTTTTTATGTTATGCAATACTAATACAATAAAGCTCTCATGTAGTCGTGCCACACGACTCAATTCCATGAGAGCATTACGAAGATAAATGGTGCTTTGATAAAGACCTTATGGAACATATCATGATTAAGACTATTTATTTCGTAAAAAATAAATGATTTAAAAACTATTTTCTTAAAAATGATCGCTTAAAATAATTAGCCAATGAAAAATATTTTCATTATCGACAATAATTTGTATCTACATACTTTCGTGGACGATGAAAATATTTGTCACTCGTTCATTTTTATAAGCGATACAAGACGTCATTTTTAGGAAAATAAATCATTCATTTTCTGCGAAACAAATGAAGCCTAAGTTTTACATTTTTCTCTATTCTATATCTATAGTTCGTAACATTGGAGCACTGCTTTACTTTATATATTAGTATATGTGTATGAAATGCAGAATCACGGGAGAAATTATATGTACTAAAAACATAAAATACATGTGTGTGTGGTAGTCCAATCATCGCCGATCGGCAACCATCTTACGTGGCACACCACCTCATTGGTGATTTCCGGCAAAAGTTTACTGGATGGTCTACATTGGAATTTCGAGCAAACATTAAAACTAAATTGGCAAAATTGAAAAGTCTATAATTAAATTGATATTCGTACAATAAGTTTAGAACTGATTGGATAATTTCTCCATAGCATTATTACTATAAAAGACATGATAATAAAGTTAGATAAAGTACAGTGCCATGCGTTGGTCTTGACAATCACAATGTGTGTTGGCCAGGCGACATCAACATAAGGTGAGATCATATAAATTAGGTACCGGGTCAAAATCTTGTTTTTTTTTTTTTTTTGGTAACCGAGGATTCGCCACCATTCCCCGGGGATGAGCCCGCACAGGTAATCGGGGCGCCTATACCTCAGGAGAGACTAGCCCAGAAACCCACCGTCAGGGCCCCCCACTTAAATTACGGAACCGAGCGGGGATTCGAAATCTTGTTTGTAGTACATTGTATTCATAAACATGAAGTAGACATCATTTTTAGTAAATCTTTATATTTAAAAAGGAAGAAAAAAATACTTATGTAGTAAAATATAGTCATTATCAGTAACTTCATCTATTTTGTGGTACATACTTACATTAAGAGTAAAAGGAACCGATTTGCCAGTTAAAATTATTTGTTCATAGTGAACTTTACTTGATCATGGTAATTTTTCTCATTTTTTTAGTAAATAATTTCAAATAATAAAGAACCATCAGTAGTAAACCTTTTCATGCATAGTAAACCATATTTATTCTCGGTAAACTTCTTCATTTCAATTAAGCATACTTAGATAATCCTTTAATTAGATAATATGTTTATTATCAATACTAAATTATATTAATAGAAAAAAAGGTGGATAGAGGGAGAGATGTCTTGCCACTGCTCACCACCGAGAGAATTACCAAAAAAATCCTAAACTTATTGCAATTGTGTCAATTAAATTGAGTCTTAAGTTTTTGCATTTGTGACAATTCAATCCATTCGGTTAGTTTTGATCAAACATCACTGACATAGACACCAGCTTTCTTATGTGGCGCGATCGGCGTTGATGTAGATAATTTTTTATGATATTTTAATATTTTTTTGAATTATTTATTTATTTATTTATTTTTGTCTTCCCTTCCTTCTTCTTCCAGCTAGTTGCCAAGAGGCAAGGGCTAGCGAGGTCGACCTCCTCGGCCTTTGGCAAAGCTCGCCCCTATCGGTCAATGGCAAGGGCGAGCCTCGCCCACCCTTAGCGAGGACAAGTAGGGTTTCTATGTGTATAGCATATCTGACCCTTACCGAGCAAGCAAATCCATCCATCAACCTCCCCAAGGAGTCGTGACATACGCAGGATGATTTCAGTGGGATGCAAATGACAGGTAGTAACGAGGATAACGCGGTAATTTTAACATGGTAATACTGAGTCTCTTCACATAGTACATGTTGGGAAAATTACCAAAAAAAAATCCTAAACATATTGCAATTGTGTAAATTCAGTCCTTAATATTTTGCATTTGTACCAATTCAGTCAATCCTGCCAATTTTGGTCGGCCGATGCTAATGTGGACATTGGCTGTCCAGCAGAAGTTGATGTGGCAATTTTAATTTTTTTCTTTTTTCTTCCTTCTTTTTCCTTTTCTTCCCCATAGTGGCCGGCGAGGCCAGCCTTGTAACGCTCCCACCTCAGGGTCATTAACGTGACGTCTCGTTCATTATTATCTTTCTTTACATACAAGCGGAAGCATAATTTCGGGACAATCACATTTAGAACAACAGTGGAATTTAGACAAACAGCATCATGAGCAAACCTTATGTTTACAGTGCATGCAAACATGTTTTAACAAGCCCTTCGGGCCATGGCAAACAATACATATTTCACACGCACTATGAATAGCAAAACTCGGCTTGGGTGATCCTATCCCCCTCTACTTCGTCTTCTCGCTTCTAACTCCATCCACATCTCCTCCCCGCTTCCAGTCCGCATGGCCGATCTACACCCCACCCGTGGCATGCCCCGGAGCTGGCCTGCCTACACCGCCAAAAGGTCCATTGAACCCACGTAAGGGTCCAACCCATTCTTCGTCCGTGTAGCCATGCCATGCTACATACGGGTCAGGCACCAAGTGTCACGCCCCGAACCCCTACGAGCTCGCGACATCCCCTGCTCTGGTCGAAATGATGCAACGTCCCAGGAACGTCGCCGACCCAATCCAAACATCAGAGCCACATGCGGAAGCGGATATAAAAACCCCGGACAAAAAGATGACGACAATGGGGTAGAATACCACAACAATCAAACAACAACATCTTCATACAGCACCAAACCTACAAACATCATATTACAGACATAAATACAGACGAACATACTCCGCCACCGTTTTAACAAAAGATCAAGGTCTGGTTAACTTAGCTTCCCTATGGGTCAACCCGATTTACACAACCCCTAAAATATCCTAGGGAAAGCCTACTGGTCGCCCTTCTGCTCTGCTTCTGATTCTTCGGGTTTGAGCCTCCGGACACTCACCTGCAATTCCACCAGGCACCAAAGGCGGTTCCTCGAACTTCCAAAAAGAGGAGGCAAACTTCCCGGGTCTAAGGCTGGGGGTCTGAAAGTGGCGGTTATACAATCGTGAGACGAATCTCAATAAGTGTACAACCCCAAACCCCACGTAGGCACTCACGTACCTCCAGACGAAAACACACATAACACACAATGATCAGCCAAACTAACAATCATATGCGACCCTACCTGGAATTTCTCACGCACGTCCCTGCACGTTAGTCAACCACACAGCCAGTATGCCACAGAAATACATCACCGCCGCGCGCGTGCCCCGATTATAGAGCAAAACCCACTTGGGCACGTCCCATACCATGCATAGCAGTTTTTACCCCATAATCGAGCATCACACCACGCGATACAAACACACTCGCGCACCAACTCACACCACACGCCACTTTCTTAATTTCACTCGTCCCGCCAATTCTTGCTCATTCTCAGCCTTTCCACCACTACCGTGCCCGCGTAAAACGCATCAGGCTAACGGTCTTCTGACCTCGTCAGGCATCGTCACCCCGTCGGGCCGGGCATCGTCACCTCGTCAGGGACGGCATCGTCCCGTGTAAACGTACACGCCTCAGGACGGAATCCTACACACACTTTCCTTCTACCGCGCCCGTGTAAAACGCATCAAGCCAACGGTCTTCTGACCACGTTAGGCATCGACACCTCGTCAGGCCGGGCATCGTCACCTCGTCAGGGACGGCATCGTCCCGCGTAAACGTACACGCCTCAGGACGGACCTTTTTCCAATCAATCGTACACATCCGAACCTTCGTTCCACACTCTCTACACGTACCACGCCACCACACAAACACACTACCAAACATACACACTTCACACACATTTCACATTTACACAACCTCGTCACGCGAACACCACACAAACACCCAAGCTTGGCACGCGAACTCAATGCGCAATCATGCCACCACACCTCACAGCCACACAATCACACATACGAGCTCATTCAAGCATCAAACTACCCGTCAAAATGCCATGATAACACCGAATAATTCTCGAGAGAGAGAAAAACTGAGAATATATAAAATCGGGTCAAAACTGGGCAGTTTACACAGTGACCGAAATCCCAATAAAATAAATAGTAAACGAACTCCAAAAATTCTAAATTTTGGATATGTCATAAAAAAACATCTTGATCAACATTTCTTATGAAGAACACGAAATCCGGTTCAATTTGTAACCATTCCTTTTTGTCCCTCGAAGTCAGACCAAAATCAGTTCGCTCAAACAGACCGTTTTGTCCTCAAAATACATTTATTTCAACATCCAGATCACCTTGAAAAGCTTTGAAATTTTTATATGTTATAGCCACAAATGTCCCCAACAACGTTTGTGAAGGA